GTGGGGTGGGGGCAGGGGGTGGGGGCAGGGGGGGGCAGGGGGGACGGGGGGAGGAGAAAACTGATAAATGAGAAGGGCAAATGAGAGGAGGGTGAGAAAACAGGAGAGGGAAGGAAGCTAACCCTTTGGGAAACCAGACGGGTGGGGAAGAAAGCTATACCCCCACAGAGGGAGGGGGAGGGGAGAGGGGAGAGGGGAGAAAGCTAAACCCAGTGGGAAGGGGGAAACGGGAGGGGGAAACGGGAAGGGAAAGCAGGAAGCTACAGGTGTATACCCATGATCAATGAGAAGCCTAGATGTAGAAGCAATAGAATGATGAGGGGGGGGGGGGGGTAAGTAGAGGAGAGGGAAGGAAGGAAACTATACCCCTGATCAATGACTGTTGAAAGTGGCCAACAAAATGAAGGACTTATTTTGAGCACCAGTGTGATCAGTAGCTAGAATGAGGGGGTAAACCGATATGGAGTGCTAATCAGATGCCTCTGATTCATATCCCCCATCGTCTCTCAGGCACGGCGCAACAAAGACGCAAATGCCACCATTGTCGTCATTGGGAATGGCAAGCGGCTGCTTTTTCCTGGAAAACAATTTTTCCGCGTCGCGTTTACCTCAGACTGATCTATCTGCGTTAATGTCAACCTCTGCCTCCGCTGCAAGAGGAATACATGAATAAACACAGCTCAATTATGATATCCCCCCACGAGACAACAAGGGATTTACTTGACATCAACCGAATGCATAGGAAGAGCAAATTAGCATTCTCGGGTTTGTGTATATCCCATTGTATCATGCACATTTCAAATGTAATCATCAATGCATTAGCAATTCATACTGTATTGTCATTGCTGTACAGCACTGTGTAATTATGGTGCATATAAATAGACGAATGAATAACTACAGCTTGCTCAGCCATACCCATGCACAGCTAACAAAGTAATTTAATTTTGCATCTATACATTGTATATATGCTTAGAATAAAATACATATAGGCCACACAGCCAACAGAGAATGGGCAAGAGATAGATGTTCATGTCGACATCCATGTGTTTTTTTAGTATTTCCCTCACACAGCGACCGACCCCAGAGATGACTTCGAAGTCTGACGTCAATCTCTCTCCCTCGTCTCCTCTCCACTCTCTTCCCCTCTCTCCTCCTCTCTTCCAATCTCTCTTCCCATCTCTCTCTCTCTCCCTCTCTTTTTGCCACTCTTTCTCTCCCGCTATCCCACTATCTCCCATCTCTCTTTCCTCTCTCTCTTTGACTCTCACTCTCTCTGTCTTTCTCTCTCTCTCTCTCTGTCTCTCTCTCTTTAAGTCTCTCTCTTCCCTTCTCAAGAAAAACTCAAGAACATAACAGGCTACATTTGAGAGGCCTCTCAAAGAATGATGTAATCTTACAGTGATGCAAAGGGAGAGAAAGGGAGGATGGGATGAGAGGCAGGGATAGCAGATATATTTTTAGTTTCCTGAATAATGAGAATTTACTCTGCTGTCTAATGGGAAACAGAACATGCCATTTGCTCGCGGTCCCCCGGCCACTCACTGGAGCGAGACGGCATTCACGTAGACAATGAATTATGTAAATTCACATGACGCACATGAAACCTGTCCGTGAATAAGAGCGATGCCACTATTCTGCACAAGGCCGTCAGATCCACTACACACACATATAAGCCCAATATTCCGACTTAAAAGGCCATTATTATAATTCATGTCATCCGACCTGTCTAAAAAAAAGGGGGGGGGGATGGAATAACCTTATTTCTATCTAACTAAATAGTTTATTTTACTATCAAAACAGCCGAGCAATGACCCTGACATTTGTAAAAGATGATGCTCGCATACATGTTCAAACATGGAGGAAACATTTGTTTCCAACCATGTGATGTTGTATTAAACAAAGTTAACATTTTTTATAGTCAACAGTCACATGCGAAACCATCCAAACAATTAATCTCTTCAAGAAAAAAAAGGTCAGCAGCTGAAAATTTGGGTGAGTACACATGCAAGGGTAAACAAAAGCAAAAACGTAAAAACATTTCTGATATTATAATGTTAATCCACCAAGGATGATGCCAAAGCTATGAATTTATCATTACTTCACAATGAAAGAAAACACAAGAGACAGGTCTGTATCATTACTTGGGAAAACAAACAAACATATCTATCAAACTTTAAACTTTTGATCCACAAAGACTCCCTATCCACCCACCTTTGTCTCTATTCATCCTGTTTTATGGTATCCCTCTCTCTATTCTATAGAGTATAGATATCCCCACTCTCTTGATCTCTGGCAATTTTTCATACTTGGCCATCTTAAATTGGTCAAATGTCAGAAATCGCACCTGCCCATTCTTATTTAGTTCCAGATTTTACAGGATATATACTCATAATTTCTTGCCTTCATCTTTCTTGCAGCTGCTCATCGATTCAAAGATCATAAGATTCATTGCACTACAATGTTTTTTCTGAAATAAGGTATTTTGTTGTTTTAGTAAGTCTTTTGGCCCATACATTGTTTGCCGCCATGATTGCAAACATATCAATGTATCATTACCAACTTAAGTACAGTATTTGCACTTGGTCTTTTGTTTGAAGGTCAACATGACCACAAATAAATAACTTAACCCTTTGGCTACAGGAGCCGGGTGGTCACTGTGATAACTCTATGGGAATGAGTGAATTCAGTAGTCAACGGGTTAAACAATAGGCAACAGGTTGGCATTCTAACTTGATAACTTTACTGATTATCTATCAAAGGGAACACAGAATTCAATACGTGACTGGATTGTAAACACAATTTACTGCAAATAATGCAGTGGTAATTAATTCACTTAACCCACATATTTCATTGTGGATAGTACACTGTATACACACAAATGTCCAATTTCAATAGGAATGTTTATGAAAAAGTTCTAAATGTAATACTAAATTACTTTGAATTTGTTCAATTCATAAGGGTAATTATTTTTTATAAATAGAATTTATACTTGAAAAAGTCATTTTCAACTTATTATTTCACTGCTCTTTACCCTATTAAATGATTGTGGATAAAATCTGCTTGAAATATCTAATAGACAAAGATGGGGGAAAAAAAAGAATTTGTGGTTATACTAATGCAATATTCGAGAAGTGTTTTCTGGCTCAATAATTGCCAGAAGTTATGAATATTATGAAAAGACATAAAGTCATCATTAAAAATAGAAAATGAGACACTTAATTTGTTAAGGATTAAATAGCATTCAGGAAAATATATCACATATCAAATTCTAACATTGAAGTAAACTGAGACTTCCTAACACTCTTGAAAAAGCATAAATTGTTTACATAATAGCCATTTTGAAAAATAAATGACCGTCTCTTCACACTCTTGAGATTTAATTCATGTTGATTAATCTCAAAACTATTTAAAAAGGGCTCTCCCCATCAATGCACATATAACAGTACAATATGAATTTATAATAGGCTGGACAGAAGCTCTATTCTGTATTATCCTCTGTTATATGTAGCTACAGATTCATACACATGGTATATGTGAAGAACTTCAGAAGCAGTAAAATTGCATCAGAAGCGTAATTTATATATATTGAAATAAAAAGCTAATGTATCCTTACCATGTCAATTATACCAATACTGTGGTGTAAGACCAAGTGCTGCTACATATATCCTTTGTTTAAATTGAAAACTGCTGTCTCAAGTTTTTATGCAATTCAACCCTGACTTTTACTTTCCATACCTTACATAAATATCACAAACCATTATCTTGTGGTTACTGATAAATATTCTTAGAATTGGTTGTGCTCATTGCAGATTCGAAACAAACAATTCTTCCAACTTCTCAGTAAAGGATGATTAAGCGGTTTTGAAAGTGATAGCAACTTGAAAATAAGGCTCTCTCTCTTCCCGTCTCTCTGTCTCCCTCTCTTTCCTTTTAATTCTTTCCTTTCACAGGCACAGTTACCTCTTTTAAATGCATTTGCTTGCATTTCTTATCCCCTTCTCTTTTTATTTTTATCTCTCTCTCTCTCTCTCTCTCTCTCTCCTTCTCTCGTTTTATTACACCAACATTTTACACCAACTTATTCCCACCACCCCAATCCTCTCTCTCTCTCTCCCTCTTTCTTTCTATCTTTCTCTCTCTGACATGTATTTTGTAAATTGTAAATTAAAGAAAATTATAATGATAAAAAAAGCCATAAGATGAATTTGGAATACACTTACATGCAGCTATAAGTTCAACTGATTGGAAATAAAACCTGCTAATATACAATTTTCTCACTGACTGGTCACTTATGAAAAATAGGAAAGAGAATTTCCCTGAAAAAAGGATAATTTTTATACCAAAAAATATGTGTAGCTTCTTTCAGTATGAGGTTATTCCACATAAAGTTTTGGAAATTCAACACAGAAAGTCTCTTCACAAATTACTCTTGTTAAAGAATGCATATGTTCCGTCACTTTTCACATATTGCACCCACACACACACACACACATATTCAAGTTTGACAGTTCAAAATGTGACAAATATCCCTCATTCAGGCAAACCTTACCTTTCTCTCAATGTTTGCAAGGTTTTATATCACATTTAATGGTCCCTCTGTAGATAAGCACACACACACACACATACAATACCAGATTATGCAAGAGTTCCAATTAATCAATTGATTGGGAAATGAACCAGATTAGCACGTTCCTTATCCTCCCCACGAGCTCCGTCATTCTAGGAAGTGTAACTCATTTTAACTACTGCTAGATATGAATACCATGACTAACTCCCCATTAAGCCCCGTCCATAAACCTGCCAGCCCACTTACACAGTGCAGTCAAAAAACAGATTAGGCCCAAACTCGTCACACAAAACACACACACCGCACTGCAAAGAAATAAAAGAAAACAAGCTCTCTCTCAAAGTTCCCCTCTCTATGCTCCCCATATAACACATTTCACCAAAAATGACCACCATGGTGTCTGAAAGAATAGTATTATCAGTTTTAAACTCACTGGATCGCTGCTGTGCTGGAGAATTTCCCAGTATTCAAGAGAGAGTCAACAGCGAAGTCTGCCTCTAGACTGTCGAGTAGTTTTCCTGGAAATGAAGCGAGAGCCGAGGCAGTCAAGGCATGCTTTGCATTTGTGTAGAGTTCCTGGTAGTCTAGTTCCTCTGTAAAACGAGCTGGAGAGAGGGAGAGAGAGAGAGGGGAAGAGAGAGAGAGAGAGAGAGAGAGAGAGAGAGAGAGAGATACGAGATCAGTCTGTGTACAGTACGCCTAATTCAGTTCACCGCTTTTCCATGCGTGATGATGTATGTGTGTATTTTTACACACACAAATCAATACTCTTTGTCCGGTGTGTCGGCTTGTGTGTCTGTGTGTACGAGGTTTACGTCAATAGGCAGTGAGGGAGGGCTCACGGAACTGCAAACGAAAGAATGAGAAGTATAAAAAGGGGGGGGGGGGTGCTCACAAAGGCTTAACGTTTTCTTTGCTTCGACTGATAATGAAGAAGAGACGGCCTTGAAACATTTACAGTTAAGTAAATAAACTCATCTCCGAAACAGATATTGATGAGAGGTGATTCCATTGTAAATGTCCATATCTCCATGCAGTTGTACAAAGTACCACATAATGTTGTTGTATAATGAGTGTTTATTGCTGAAAGTTATAAAACATGAATTCATAAAATGTTTGACATCACATGATTTATCATGGCCCACAAGATAGGTCAAGTATCTCCCGAGTACCACTGGGGGAAATTCCAGCAGTGCAGCACCAAAACTTGGTGTTATTCAGACAAATGGCGGGTTGGCTTCCTGCGAAATGGATCAATACGTCCCCGAGGTCACTTCCAACGAAACCAGGAGACTCAGCCAGAGAGAGCGGGAGAGAGAAAGAGCCATATTTTTCCAAGCAATGGGGACCCCAGCTTGTGTATGATATGGGAACCTGTGTCAACTATCCCAAACACTATTGTTTCGGCTAACTAATACACCCATGATTTCTGTATGGGTGTATGTTGTGTGTGTGTGTCTGTGTTCTACGTGACCTTAGATGACCCTTGCAGAGTTTTTTTCTTATTTTATTGAGGAGAGGGGGGGGGGGGGGGGGAGTGAAGAAGGCAAAAAGGAGTTTGGGTTCAAAAGTGGATATCATAATATCATACAGTGGGTCTCATTTTCTTTTTCCTTCCTCTCTCTCTCTTTCTTACTTTCTGTCTCTTTCTCTCTCTTTCTCTTGCAGCTGTTGGTGATATGTGGGTGGCATGTGTTCAGTGACTTCCTGCTCTCTCAAGTTTGATTAGTCTCTTTACAGCTGTTTTCTTTAAAAGTTTGCCTTTTATTCTGCAAGAGATTCACTTTCACAGCTTTTGCATTATAAACAATTTATCACCATCTTGCTTTTATTTGTGCAGTACACTTGTACAGAATCCTTTATAAACATTTCCCTTTTTAGAACTGTAACTCTTCAGAGCAAACAGAGCTTTGATAATGACTTGAAATACGAATGTGGTTTCTACACTTAAACAATGGGAGTCATAGAGGGTTTTTTTAACTTCTGAGAAAAAAGGATCTATAACCACATACAAAAAACAACAGCCCATGTCCATGAAAGCAAAACATGTCATAGTCAATGAAGACATGATCACGTAAATTAACAAGAAAATATGTCACAATAATGATCTTTCAAATGTTTGGGTGCAGTTTGGGGGCGTTATTAAGAAATAATTTATTTCAAGTTAAACTTAAAGGCCCGAATTCACAAAGGAGGTTTGCGACAAACCTCCTTTTGTTTTGACGAACCTCCTTTTGTTATTTACAAACCAGGTTTGTAAAAAACGTGTCAAAATACGTCATATGACGTACATAAACCTCGGTTTGTCGACAAACCTCCTTTGTGAATTCGGGCCTAAGGGTTTAACCTCTACAGTTTTTCTCCTTTTCTTTTTAATTCTAATTTTGTTTGAGTGAAACCTTTCTTTTTTGTTCTTTTGTTGTTGTCGTTGTTGTTAATTGTTCCCTTTTAACATTGATCAGTTTCAATGTATGTGTACTTTTCAATTGATAGCAGCTCTACACTGCTTCATCTCTGTACTGAATATATGTCGTGGTACATCCATGTCTATGACTATGTCAAGCACTACAAAAATAATATCATATAAAATTATGAACAAAGTGAGTATTCAATGTGAATTTTGTCCTACTTCCATATAAGGGAACACCAGCCCTATTAAAATTCAGAGTCAGGGTTTCACCGTGGACCAACTACCAATGGTTTCACGGTCATTACTGATGAGATCGACACAACTAATCAACTAAGTGACATACCGATATTAGTCTACACATTGCTCATACAAGTGTTGAACAAGCTTTATAGTTGATTGCAGTCATCTAGAACGTTCAGACTCTGACATGGTGAGCGATGTCCAGTTTTCCATATCATTTTTGGTGTGTCTCTGATAATGGTATTATTACTAAATTGTGCTCTTCTACATTTTTCTACCCTACATAGAATATCATAGTGATTAAAAAATGACATTAATTAAGTGAAATTATGAACAGCTTGCAGAATTTTATTTTTTGGGAAAGACAAGCCTCTAAAAAATGTATATCTACAAAAACAAAATTTGAGCATGGGGGGAGGGGGGAATCCCCAATGTTTAATTCCCCATCCCCACTAAAAGGTTAATGTGGAGCCCTAAGTAAATAATGGTTCTGGAAAAAATAAAAAAATAATTTTTATCTCATGTCTGTAAAATTTATGCCATACTGCATCTCACTTGTGTAAAATTAAAATGTGATATTGTATGTCATTGATGGAAGCAGAACTTGGAAACAAATACCTTGCAGGTTCATCTATCAGTAATGTCATGAATAAGCACGACTGTTACATTTAGCTATAAAAAAAACATTTGAATAATTAACACACAAATCCACAGAGGATTCCAGGCCTACATTAAAACAGAACAGTGTCCACCCCCATACAAGCAGCCCTGTATAAATGCTCAATGACCTCAGCCAACTAATGACCTAATTCAATACGAAATCGCAAGTGCTTCAATAAAAATAGAAACCTCCAAACCCGGAAAAGTTTTCCAGTTGGGAAGGAAATGGTCTCCCAGCAACCAATACAGACATTGTACCTACAAGCACATAAATTGGACTCGGTCGGTAGTCAGATGTGATGGGCATGATATGCAGCCACCTTCAAACAATGCAAAAAGGAAGGGAAAAAACCAAAGAATAAACATCCTCCTCGTGTTACCCTCCATGGTGGAGGGCCACGTACGTCACATGCTCGATATAATTCTGCCAGATATTGATTTCCAAGAACTGCTCAGGATAAAGTTATAAAATTTGGTTCCTCCACCGTGCCGAGAATAGATATGATATTGGCCCGACATGCATGGAAGCGTTTTATGAACTAGGACTGCATTTTAATTAATGACTGGAGACATAAATCAAATAAATCTTACACATATATTATTAACAATAATTGTATTTTGCTTTTAAATCTTTTCCTTCATTTTAACATTTATGACTGTTTTGAATTAATCTTATCAATTATTTATCTTCACAAATAGTGTTAGATGTAAACCTAGTATATGTATTCAGCCCTCTCTCTCCTTTATTCAATTCTTTACTTAGTTTCATTGTGGATGAGAACAAAAGGATATTAACACTTTTATTTGAGGGAAACGGATGGTAGCCAACAGCATGGTCATTTGTTTCTGATCGAGCAAACCACTTGCTGCCATTTGGCACCTGGGAAATGACAAAGTGGAAAGCGAAAGCTCCAGCAAAAAAAAATCTCCATTATAAAAATAAACTGCTGACTTCAACAATCAACCCTGTACCAAACCCAATAGCAACCCTCCAAACCTGTACATGTACCTCGGGAGCAAATGCACAGATGATTTGGTCTAGTGGATAAGTCTCTGGACTGTGAACTACAAGGTACAGGGTTCAAGTCCCTGTCGCAGCACTTATGTCCTTTGGCAAGAGTGAGCTTAATCTACATTTGCCACACTCCACTCAAGTGAGATACATGTACTGTAAATGGGTACCTTGTAGGAATTAATTCCTTAAAACGCTGGAGTGCTGTACTGGCAGCCGGGCTATAGTCAGATCGATATTAACGATGGAGCCCCAGGATTGGCAATGTGCCAGACATGAGTTCTATAAAAGATTGAAGACTCCACTATTACCGTTATTATTCATGATGTTGGACCACCAGTAGAAAAGATGTTACTGTACATAATGCCTTTAAGCTGGAGTAAAGGGACAGTCCCTTTTGTCCACAAATGAACACATTATTAGATAAAACCCAAGATCCACACTAAATTGGTGTCCCAAAGTAAGTGAAGAAGGTAGAGAATATCGGTGATCAGATGCCATCGATCTTAGAAAATTGTTCACATTCACTGTCAAGATGGGACTTGCAACATAGTTACTCCTCCACATGACCGTCAAGAAACTGATTTGGGAATGATTTTTAGTTATTGTTATTGATCAAATATGACCAGCGCTTGACCAGTACTGCCAATGAAGTGAAATATTGAATAAGAGCTCAGTATACATAAGGGCCTACATTCATTTTAGCAGTGGCAACCATACAAATGATATCATCCCAGTTTGACAATTGTCATATGAGACATACTGTGTACATGGATGAATCCCTGCCATCTGAATTGCACATTATGACATTTTACTGATAATGGAATTAGTCCACTGATTATTTCTGCATTCACACACAGGCAAGTTAATGAATATGTTACTCTGAGTCAAACTGGGAAGCAGCTTAGAGAGATAATACATGTCAGCTCAAACCATGGGAGCTTGTAAATGAGTCCCATTAGGCCTGTCTCCATCAGCTCGAGTTTGCCAAATAACCTGCTAGTTTAAGTATCCCGATCGCAAATCAACCAGTCAATTTGCGCTTCATCAGCCCGCAGTTGCAATTAGCGGGATATATGGTTGAGAAAAATATCCCGAGAAATCTTGGTCTTGTTTCTAAAATATCCCGCTATTTCCCAAATAGCAGTTTAATTTGCGCCCGTCTCAGCTAGTTTGCGATGGTGGGTTATTTGGCAAACTTGAGCTGATGATGAAGGCCTAATGAAAAGGAAAGTCGATGTATATTCTTTGAGTCAGGATACTTTGAGTTGACAGTGGCAAAT